CTGCTTACTGCTCCTCTGGGGTGCTTTGGTGGTTGGCATAAATGCCCGAGTATTTAATTCTCTGCCATCTCTACTCAACAGAGCTTGGAGTTCAGTGATTCCCCTTTCCTGTGGGTGGTTCTTGTCATTTCAGTGCAGCTGCCGTTGCTCCGAAAAAGAAGATTCAGACCACTCTGACGAATCTGGTTGTGAAGGGCACCAACTCCATCATTCGGGAAGCACAGCAAAAACTTGGTACCTGTGTTTCCGCATCCTGCATTTCTTTCTCAAGTTTTGGTTTTTTTGAGACAGGGTCTCACTATGTAGTAAGACTGACCTGGAACTTGTTATGTAGCTCAGGCTGGTGTCGAACTCCGAGCGATCCTCCTGCCTCAGCCTCCCGAGTGCTGGGATTACAGGCGTGTGCCACCACGCCCGGCTCTTTCTCCAGTTTAAAAATGCAGTATTAGTGATTGAGGGTGACTGATGACTCCTCAGCTGCTTAGTGAATAATGCGACCTCGGCTAAAGGCATCCAACCTGGGGGCAGGATGTTAAGAGGAAACAGCATGTTGGTCAACTGTGTCTTCATTTTGTACCCTTTTTCAAGTTTCTTAATGTATCTGTGTCAGACTCTTGACCTCCAGCATTGGAATCAGGATCAGGCTCCTGGTCAATGCTCTCCAGATATTTTCCCTTTTGTCAGACTAGTCCCAGATCAGGAAATACCAGCCCACCCTGTACTTGTGGGCCTGGTAGTGCCCCTGAGCCCTCACCCATCTTGCACACTCCAGAAGTGGTATATGAGACGACCCCACAGGTACTAGGTGCTTAGTATTCTAATCATTAATAGAAACAGAATGCACTCAAACACCCATGCAGTCCTACCAATCTGATGGTAAAGTTATGGGTTCTTGGTTTTCTCTTGGCATTCCATCTGGTTTATTTACAAATGACTAAATTATGAGCCCAGAGTTTAAAGAGCAATCATCCTATGGCATGAAATGATCGGAATTTTGAGTCCCGTAACACTGGTGTCTGCACGTCCCAGGAATGCCACAGAAGAGCTTGGCTTGCTCGGAGGAGTTCAAGGTGTTGATGGACCTGCCGACATTTGGAGCCAGAAACTTGAAACATCTAGCCAAAGGCAAGACTTCAGGTACAGTCAGCTTTTCTGGCCGCGGGCGTGTGCACGAGTTGCTTCACCTCTCGCAGAACCACTCAGGTTGGGCTTGTGTTTTAGGGGTCCTGGGGAGCCCGCAACCTGCCTTCCAGTCTATCTCAGCATCGGCCCTCCTGAAGCAGCAGAAGCAGCAGATGTTGGAGATGAGAAAGAGGAAATCTGAAGAAATGCAGAGGCGGTAAGAGCAGCAGACCTAACATTCCTTCAGGAATCCCCCGAAAGGCTTCCTAGACTCAAAGATAGGACTGACATGTAGGTCGGCATCATTGTTGTCCTGGCCTACACAGCACCGAAGGTGAAATGCTTCCAAGTTAGTCGAGTGAGTCCTGGGACCAGGTGGCCAGACGAGAGTAGTTAACGTCACCGTGGAAAAGAAAGGTGCGAAGGGTGAAGAGAGTTGTTGGGCAAGCAAAGGCGTGTGTTTACCTGTCCGCGCTTGTTTCTTTGTTTCACCAGTTAGGTTTTTAAGTACAGGTAAAAATGTGTAGATGATCTTTGTTCAGGTAAATGGAGCATTAAAAATAGAGTCGTTTTAGAGGCAAAATCAGGTAGAAGTGGGAGTGGGAGGTGGACAAATCAAGATTCCCTGAGCCGGCCCAGGTTCTCTGAGTGAAGACAAAAGCCACTGTTTACACGTGCTTGCCACGCCCAGTGCCGTCTGCCCACGGATACGGCACCTCACTCGGCCTCAGGGTGCCTGCCGGAGCCACCGTGCTGGTGTTCCTCCTGATGCACTGGGAGGTCTGACTCTGACTCACAGCTGTTCTGCTCCAGGGCTTAACCACCGAGCTGTCCCACTTCTGGGAAGAGGAAAGTCGGTGAAAAGCCAAGAGGACAGTCTCTGGGAAAATACGAGAATGAGTTTGTTCTCAGGCAAATTACTTTGGGACGTCTATAAAGATATTTATTTGTGCCTCCAGATATATATTTCCATAATATGGAAATGAAAATGTGTGTGTGTATAGGGTCGTGCCCTTTGTGGAGAATGGAGACACCTGTGAGAAAGCAGCACAGTCTGACTCGTACTCTTTCTGCCCACAGAGTAGCACCTAGGTAAGACAGGGAGAGGCTGACCAGGGCTGGTATTTTTGATCTCCCTGTTTTCAAGACTGGTTATATTCTAGCTAGGTCTTATTTTCAAGGAAACATGAGTAGTCACTTTCTTATTGTTGGGACAAAATTCCCGACACCCACAAGTTAAAGGAGGAAAGGTTTACTTGGTTCACAGTTTGCAGAGGTTTTGGCCCATAGTCAGCTGGCTCCAAGGCAGGGCGGCCTGGCAGAGGGGATCGCAGAGGAGAAACAGTCCATGCAGGGCAGGCAGGAAGCAACGCAACTTCGTTCTTTGCCTTTCTCTTCCATCTGGGCTACAGGCCTCTTGGTTGGTGCCACCACACCCAGGTGGGTCTTCCCTCTCCAGTCAGTCCATCCTCCACACACAGAACCATGCTAAACCCGTCAATGGACCGGTCCAGTGTCACACCCATGATCCATTCTCTTCCAAAGCCCCACCTATGGGCGCATGAGGCTTTGGGGTGACATCTGACCATAAGCCATAACACAGTCTGACACTTTTCAGAATTTATTAGCTAAACAAGTCATACCTGGGTTTGGTAGTTTTTGTAAAGTCACCCTGTGGTTTGGAAGAGAGCATTGGTAGTGAAAAGGTACTGGACTGGTGTGTTACTAGGAACAATGTGATCAGGCCTTGGTTTCATCATTTATAAATGAGAAGTTTGGACGAGTTGATTTCTCAAGTTTACCATTTTTAAATACAGTGGCCCCTTGAGTTACAACCGGCCTGACGTACAAAAAATTTGCATTAAAAGCACAATTTTAACTTTAACTTATGACTAAAATCTTGAGTTAAGACGTGAATACTGGTGACTTGTGCTTCCAGATGGTTTCAGATACAGATTTAACCCTTAAAGAGTTCTAGGAGGAACATGACAGCATCCTTTCCTGTGTGGGGTTAATTGAGGAGTCCTGGACCAGTGTCTCTCTAAGGACACTGAGATCTGTGTGTGTGCAGGAGAGAGACTTTGAAGGTTGTGTAGAGGAACCTGAGTTACAACCAGCCCTCATGAACAAATTAAATTAAGTTCCGAAGTCAAGGGTCCGCTGGAGCTCTTAAAGCAGCATAATTATTGTAACTATAATTGGTCACAGTGCCTTCCTGTTAAGGACTTCCAGACATAATCTGTGCTATTACAGAGCCTTTGGGAAACAGCATCCATTCTCAAGTGGCAGAAGAATTGTAGCTCATTCCGTTGGAATTCGGTTGCCACACAAGTGAGTAAAGCTAGTATTGTTCTTAGTGTCAGCCAATTCAAATGATTCACCAAAGAGGGGAAACCATTTTACCAGTTAGCAGCTGGTGGGCTGCCTGGAGTCTCTGGTCCACTTTGACTTCTGGAGTTCATCTGTGTAAAGCCTTCTATACATTTTATTACTGCTTTTTTTTTTTCTTGAGACCGGGTTTCACTGTATATCTCAGACTGCTCCGGAACTCACTGTGTAGCCCAGGCTGGTCTCAAAATCGCAGCGATCCTCCTGCCTCAGCCTCCCAACTGCTGGGATTACAGGCATGCACCACCATGCCCGGCCAATTTTTTTCTTTTTCTTTTGTTTAAATACATATTTCTTTAAAGATTTCTCCAAAGCTCAAGTGAAGTCGGAAGCCCAGAAGTGCCAAGCTCATCCCGGCAGCTGCCCACCCGGTCTCCGCGAATGGGAGCCGAGTTCCCTGCACTGGGCGGAGCCGCTGCCCCGTGGATGCCCCAGCTGGGACGCGGCGTTGCGGAAGGGGACGACGTTCTGTTCTTTGATGAGTTCCCACCACCCAGACCCAAGCTGAGTGCGCTAGCGGAAGCTAAAAAGGTAACTGGCTCCTCTTCTCCTTAACGCTTGACTTCAGTGAGACACAGCTTGAGTTTCAAACTGTGCGCTTACAGCCGGGAAGCCACCGAGCAGCTGTTTACCAGTCCTGCTAAGTACAGTGGGAGGGACTTGCCATGATAATCGTGTCCACATAGTACCTTTAATTTAATCCAAGAAAGTCGGAGACAGAGGAGACGTCCTCCAGGAAGCCTGGGTTCCATTCCCAGCTCCGAAAATGAAATCCCTTCCTCGAAGGCAGTGCTGCCCCGGAGTGGTCCGCTGACAGATGCAAGTGGATCTGGCTGATGTGGGAATGGGGCGCACCCAGGGCCCCCCGTCTACTTTCTGGGTCTCTCCATCAGTCCTCCGCTCTTCTCCGTACACCAGTAGAAGGGCAGAGGTTCTCTGTGCCCAGCCTCGCCCGCGTGGCGGCATCATGGTGATAGCAGTGACGACAGCCAGTTGCATGTGTTTCTTCACATTTCCCTAGGCCTGTGGTGTCTGCCTGCTGAGCTGTTCGCTAAGCCCCAGGGTATGCTTTCCGTGTATTCGCTTATTCCCCCACTCAGCCACCACCTTAGAAAGACATTGTCGGTCGTCACCCCACATTATTGTAATTATTTTGTTTTTACTTTTGGCTTTTCTGAGACAGGGCCTCGCTGTTAGTTCAGGCTGGCCTCAAACTCATGGGTGATCCTCCTGCCTCAGCCTCCCGAGTGCTGGGATCACAGGTGTGCACCGCCGTGCCCAGCTCCCCCCATTTTGTAAATGTAGGAACTGAGGCTGATGAAGGAAGTAGTTTGCCTACACTTGCAAACCAGTCGGGTAGATCTAGAATTCTATGTTTGATTGGAAAAATTCCAAAATGGGCTTGTGGTTCCCTTTTAGAGCTAGAAGACTGCAGTTCAGCTGATGTGAGGCTGTTTATATTCGATTTAAATAAACTGAAACTTTCCTCATCAGTTCACAGACTTTTATTTTCTGTGCTGTTACATTTAACGATCATGTTACTAGTGTGGGCTCCACTGGTCAATGGGAAGGGCCTCTGGGCCCTCTGCACCCGTCTGGTCTTCTTAGTTCTTTCTTCCCTCTCTTCTGTTTTTTCTAGTTAGCTGCTATTTCCAAGTTAAGGGCAAAAGGCCAAATTCTCACAAAAACAAACCCAAACAGCATTACAAGGAAGCAGAAGAACCCCCAGGATGTACAGGAAGTAAAAGAACGTGCAGAGAAGAACAACACGTTTTCTCCTGAAGGTACCGCCGTGGGCGAGACGGCCCATTGATAAGGGAAGGGAATGTCCCAGACTGTAACCAGCACCCTAATGTCAGCCCTTTCTTTCACATGTGTTCCCTCTGTAGAATGTATAGGTAGGATTGGTGGTGGTGGTTGTTCTGCTTGCTGTGTAGTTCAGACCAGCCCTGAAGTCACTATGTAGCCCAGGCTGTCCTTGAACTCATGGCGGTCCTCCTGCCTCAGCCTCCTGAGTGCTGGGATTATAGGCCTGTACCACCACGCCCTGCCTAAGTGGATTTTTGCAATTTGAGCGACTGTTTTTATAATCACATTAAATTGAAATTATGTGTAATCTGAAGAGTTGGGAAAGAATTTCCCATTGGATTTTTGCACGTACGTGTTGGTGTGAAGATTCTGCTTTGAAAGGAATAGAATTCTGTTTTTATTTGTCAGACTCTGAAGCTGGCTATGTCATTTGAAAGTGAATGTTGCTCTATTACCGTCCTCCGCTCCCTGGTCCTGGTCCAGTGGTCGGGTCTTTCCTTTGCGCACATTCTCAGCTCGCTTCCAGTGCCCACGTGCTGGCCCTCGAGGCCGAGAAAGCCAGTGCTGGGGCGGGGGGAGGACACTGCTCCCCCATCCTCTGGGATGCTCTTCTCTCCACTAGCTGAGGACGAGTTAGAGCCTGCACAGAAAAAGAGGAGAGAGCAGCTCGCCTACCTGGAGTCTGAGGAATTTCAGAACATTCTAAAGGCAAAGTCAAAGCACACGGGCATCCTGAAGGAGGTAAGAGCCCTGGAGACTGGGGAGGCGACAGTGCCTGGAACCTGAGTGACTTTGCTGTGGGACTGAGAGTCTTTATTCACCTGCGCTGCAGGAAGAGGCTGCCCTGCCGCCTGTTTGGTCAGCTTGGAAGAGCAGGGACAGTTCCGATGGATTTTATCTTTGCCTTTGTCAGCAATTGATCTATTATTATTTAAATAGACCCCACTGTTGTAAAAATGTTTGCATGTAGTTGGGGCTATTTAACACACTAAATACTAGTCACTTTTCTGCCCAGCCATATGAGAAGGTTTTTTTTTTTCACTTGAATGATTTTATATTGGCACTTCAAATGTTCTAAATCAGTATCAGTAAGTTAACTCCATCACTCCTTATATTTCTTTTAAATAACAAATAGTTTTTGTTTTGTTTAGTGTGAGTCAGGGTCTTGCTATGTAGTTCAGCCCCAGCAGCCTTCCTGCCTCAGCCTCCTGAGTGCTGGGATTACAATAGGCATGCACTACCATCCCCGGCAATAACAGACTTGGGGTTGTGGCCTTATTATCTCGCAATAAAACCCATAGAAAGTACAAATTATACCAGTAATCTAAAAATTGTCAATGTAATATGCTGACTGATGTAAATAATGAAAAGGAAAGTTATGATAAAAGTAAGTATTTCATTACGTAATGCTTGGGCACAAACTATCTTAGAAGAAATAACAAAATCGCTGGAGCTTGGGCTTGTGAGAGCAGAAGCGAGGACGCATGTAGGAAACTGAGGTTCCAGAGCCCCATTTCTCTGGTCATAGTGATTTTTTTAGACAGCTGTCTGGGGACCCAAAGTGCAGCGGGCCCTCGGTGCACACTGGAGTCGCCCTGTTGGACTCTCGGGACACTCAGTGTAAAGTAAAAGCACACAGGCAGTTTGCAGTGCTGGGTAGGCGTCCTGTGGGACACACACAGTCGTGCACAGGTGTGTGGTGTGGGGACCAGTCTGCACTGCAGAGTGTAGTCGCCCCGACGCTTGGGCGGCTAGTGGCGTTCCCGCCCTTTGAATTAAGAAGTGACATGACTGGTTTGTTAGTTTGTTTTTTTATTTTTTATGTTTTTATTTTTGGTACTCGGGTTGAATCTAGGATCTTTATCCTGAGCTATATCCCAAGTTATTTTGTTTCTTTTTAAATTTTGAAACAAGGTCTCACTAAGTTGCCCAGGCTGGACTCAAACTTGTAATCCTCTTGCCTCAGCTTCCTGGAGAGCTGGAATTATGGATGTGTGCTGCCTCACCCAGCTAAGGACGCGGTTTATAAATCTGGAGAGATGGGAGACTCACCCTGCAGGCTGGAGAGCTGAGCGTCCTCCTCCTAAGGGCACCAGGCCATCTTGCTTGCCGGATGCACTAACTCCAGAGCTGGCCCACTGTGTGCTGCCCTCATCCTTACTCCACTGCAAGCGCTGGGTCCGGGGACCAGTGCCGAACAGGCGGGCTGTTGTTCCCGGGGGCTTTCTGATCTTCCTGTGCCAGCCTATATTGAGACAGCAAAAGAAAATGCTTTCTGGTGCACGCTGGCTCTGATGAACCTGTTAATAATGTTAGTGGTGCTGGACAAGGTGGTGCACACCTGTGGTCCCAGCTACTCGGGAGGACTTTGAGTTTAAGATCAGCCTGGGCGACGTAGCAAGACTCTTTTAAAATAAAAAAGATCTAGGATGTGGGTCAGTGGTAGAGTACTTGCCTGGCAGATGTGAGGCCCTGGGTTCAATCTCTGGCATTGCAAAAACATAATAGTAATGGTAGTGGTTTTTTATTTGTATTTAGTGTTTTAAAAATCACCAGTGCTTTCATGGCTCCCCACACACACGTTTTATGGGTTCTTTGCTTTGCAGTTCATTGAGGTGCTGTCTAGGGTCCTCTGACTTCTAGCTTGTCTCTTCAGTTCTATTTCGGTTATTAATGAACTGAGTTATTGGAGTAATTACTGAATCGTTCTTACTGAACTTCCTGAAGCCATCTTGGATTTGGTACAACTCTTCATGTGTGTTTCATCCTTCAGGCCGAGGCTGAGCTCCAAGAACGCTACTTTGAGCCACTGGTGAAAAAAGAACAAATGGAAGAAAAGATGAGAAGCATCAAAGAAGTGAAATGTCGCGTGGTGACCTGTAGGACGGTGAGTGAGACACAGGGCGGTGTGAGCTTCGTGCCACTGTGACAAATACCCGAGACAGACAACTGAGCCGGTGTTTATTTTGGCTCCGGGTCCTGGCGGTTTTGGTTCATAGTCAGCTCCTCTGCTTCTAGGCCCATGACAGGCAGAAACACGGTGGAGGGTGTGGCCCAGGAAAGTTGCTCACCTCATGGCCACCAGGAAGCGGAGAGAGGAGGAAAGAGTCAGAGAAAGGAGCTGGGACGAGATACAGTCCCACAGTCACACCCCGAGACCCACTCCCGTCAGCGGGGCCCCAGCGCCTGTTGACATCACCTCCCAATAATACCAGCAAATTATGATCTCACAAGTGGATTAATCCACTTGATATGATTAGAGCCCTGGTGATTCAGTCCCTTCCCCAAAACCCGTCCACAATGAAGCCTTCAACACCCTTTTGGGCATATGTTTGATCAAACCATAAAGAGAACATTAAGAAGCTGTGAAATGTGGGGTTGTGTAAGAGGGTGAGAGACAAACAGCCTGGGATAGGCGAGGAGCAGGCTCTGCCGGACCCATCCGTGGAGCTCTGGGGTGGAGCATTGCCAGGGAGGTCCTCTGTTTGACCGCAGCCCCCGTGTGCAGTGGTGTGACCGCCTTTCCTCTCTGGCTGCCGGGTCTCGGGTTCTTAGCGCTCCGTCTCATGTTCCGACGCCTCGGTCCAACATGCACAGCCCCCGAGCCCCGGGATTCACTTCCCATCCCATGCTGTGATCTCCCACTCTTGGCTCTTAACCTACCACATTGAACCTCAAGTCTGAGCGTGAATGAATCACAAGTGTATTACTGTCCGTATTTGTAGAACTCTTAGCACAAATCTGTTACAGAATTCCAAGTTCTCTGTTCTTCAAGGTCCATGTTTAAATGGGATGGGGGAAGTTCTTACTGGACACACCTTCCCTTCTCAGCCCATAAATGCGCAAGAAGGCGATGATTCTTGGCCTGCGCGGTATACTTTTCTCTATTCTTTTGAAAACCTTAGTTTTTCTTATACTGGGGATCAGGCTTGAATGAGCCACCACCCAAATGTAAGGATTCCTTGTGCAAGTTTATAGTCAGGAGGGCAAGAGAAGAGGATGAATCAAAACATAATTTGAAGCACAGCTCGCCATTCGCATTTTCCCTCCGGTGGCCGCTTTCACTGCGCGCCTAAGGATGTGGTTGGTGTATCTGTTTCCTGTTGCTGCTGTAACAAATTACTGCAGACCCAGGAGCCTAAAACGCACACATTTGTGTTTTGTTCTGTAAAAGTTTGGCTCTCACTAGGCTAAAGTCAGTCTTTCTGGAGGCTCTGGGAAGGATCTGTTCCCTTGCCTTTGTCAGCTTCTAGAACCATCCTTAAGGGCGGCTCCCTTCTTATCTCTAAAACCAGCAACAGCAGCTCAGGCTCAGCACTTCACCCTGGTTTCCGCTCCTGCCTACTTCGACTTTCAAGGGTCTTTTACATTGGGCCCAGCCAGATAAGCTGAGGTCATTTCCGTGTCTTAAAATCAGTGATACCAGCTCCCCACTCTGAATGTAATCATTACGTACTGCAAATGTGTAGCGATAAAAAAATTTAAATTTTGTTTAACTCACTAAATTAGCAACGTTAATTCCACCTGCCATTTTAATTCTCCTCTGCCACATAACTCACCAGTCTCTGGTTCCAGGAAATGGGGAACATTTAACTTCCGGAGAGCACTGTCCTGCCTGCTGCGGACCCTCCGCGTGCTCTGCATGTTGTGCGGCTGTCTAGAGTAGTTTATCTGGGCGCGGTGTGGTGACCAGAGATTACAGGCACCCTCCTAGCGCCTGTTTGTCTTCTCCCGTTACTTACTCTCTTCAGTACTTTTGAAGATCAAAACTGAAAGTGGAGTATGTCATCCTGCCGTTGTTTTTTTTTTTTCTTTTTTTTGCTTCTGAAATAGGACCAGTAATAAGCTTAAGTCCTTTTCTGAGATCTTGTAGTAAGAAATCAAAGAGCTGCTGAGCGGCCTCCCTCTGCTGCCCCGCGCTTCCTTACCCTGGGATTAACTGCCCGTGTTCTGTAACGAGCCCAGCCTAAGCTGCTGAGAGGCTCACAGCGCTCCCCTTCTTCGGCCTTGGCTGCTGTCTTCGTGTCACGGAACGCCACTGTGTTTCGTGCCTGACCAGAAAGCGGGGCACACGTTAGAAGAGATGGCCTTGGCGTGGGGAAGGCCAGAAAAGTCACTGCAGTCCCCGCGGCTGGGACAGAAGGGCCGAGTGCCCGCCGGGACCTGGCAGGCGTGGAGGAGAGGCTGCCTCCGCGTCCGGCCTTCACAGCCCCTCACTGGCTGTGCGGTTTGCCTCGGTCTGCAGTGCGCCTACACCCACTTCAAGCCTCTGGAGACCTGCGTCAGCGCGCGGCACGACTACCGCTGGCACGACGGCCTGAAGAGGTTTTTCAAGTGTCCCTGCGGAAACAGAAGCGTCTCTCTTGACCGGCTCCCGAAGAAGCACTGCAGGTATAAGAAGGGCGAGTGAGGGCTGTCTGTGCCGGGCGGGGTTCACCCTGGCGGTGTCCCGCGGGATGCTCCTCACTGCTCGCTGCTGAATCCCCAGCACGTCGGGTGCTGTCAGTGCCTGGCCCCTAACAGAGCCTTAAAAATGTGTCTTGAACAAAGAGTGAAGAAGTGTGCAGGGTGGGCTGGTGTGATTAGAGGGTAGGTTCTTTTCCTTTTACACGGTGAAGGACGCACCGCCGCTAACCCCTCAGCCTGCCTCCCTCTCCTCGCACTTAGCCCAGCGTTCCCGCCGTCTCTGAGGCAGTTCTGGAGGTCCTCTCCCGCGGTCTCCTCTGCTGTCGTGACCGTCGCGCTGTCCTGGATCAGCTCAAAGTGTTTGCCTCTCGTGCTCGTTCACGGCGCCAGATCCAGTGAACGGGTGGATGAGGACACTTCGTGAGCGGCCTTGCGTCGGCTGGCACCTCGCAGCAAAATTTTCCAGACTTCGGACCACCCCTGATAAAGACCCTCCCGGAAGGGGCCTCCAGAACTGCTTCAGAAAGCGGCAAGGAGGAGGGAGAATATTCTGAAAGGGTTAAAGACCGCGTCTTTACAGTGCTGCCTCTTGGGTCCACTTCGTGCCCTCTTCGTCCTCTTCGTCCTTTATCTGCTTCGCTCTCTCCGCCATCCTCTGAGGAGTCATGTTGTCCTCTTTGTTCTTGCTTCAGTGTCGCACGCATCTGTGCTTGGTGTAAACAGCGTGATGTCGCACGTGTCCGCTGTGCTTCCCGGCTCGCTGGTCCTCAGCCACCTCTGCTCCGTCACAGCCGCCGTGTTTCTGGCGGATGCTGTGTGCGCGGACCAGCGCCAGGCAGGGTTCATCTCTGGGAGCCCGGGTGCTACCTGCGCCGCTCTCCTGACCCTCGTGCCCTGGATGTCCGCAGGATAGATGTCCCCGGGCTGCTGTCGGAGTGGCCGGGGCCACCCGTCCTCCCCCAGGCCTGCACAGGGATCTCCCAGGTACCCCCGGTCCTCACTGACATCCTTGCCAAGGAGCACAAATACAGTTTGGATTGTTTTTGTTTTGAGGGTTTTGTTCTGTTTTCCTCGGCCCATTTTTGTTGTTGTGTTTTGTTTCTGTGGTACTGAGGACTGAACCCAGGGAAGGCTAAGAGACATCCCCAGCCCTTTTAAAAAATTTTTGAATCATGTTCAGTTGCCCAGGCTGGCCTTGAGTTTGCAATCCTCCTGCTTCAGCCTCCCAAGTTGCTGGGATTATAAGCACTCACCACTGTGTTCAACACAGTTTTTAAATACAATTTTCTCAGCACTGTTTAAACTTTTACATATGTAGTTATCAGTAATTTCAGTTATCTTTTCATGTGCTTCCTAGCCGTTGAATTTCCTATGATTTTCTGTTTGTATCTCATTGATTTTCCTACTGGGGTTTTTGTCTTTGCCTTCATTTGTAGACGTCCCTTTAACCCCATGTTGTTTTATGTTTATTTAATTTAAATCATTGGAGACTATATTTAACTTTATGGCTTTGCAGTCATAAAGTAGGTGTTTGTATATCAGTGCTTCTCTCCAGAATAGGTGGCTAAAAATATGGAAAGAGCTTGTGTAAAACACTGGGGAAACCAGAAAAATTCTGTCCCTTAAGGATAAGCAGTGAGCACCACTCATAAAGCGTAGCGCACAAGACTCTTTGGGGGCTGCTGGTAGCACCTGTGCTTTCACAAGAACAGTGCTTTTCTCTGGCCCTGCTCTCATCCCACGGCCATCAATGTAAACCAAGGTTGCGCTCATCCCGAGCAGCGAGCATAGCCCGCTGCACCACCATGTGCGGCTCCGTCTCTGAAGCCCCAGGACCATCTCTCCAGGCACTGAGCACATGTGCTTAGTGTTACAGCAGCCTCAGGTCTGGCCTGTGATAGTGCAAAGGTCATCTTGGACCATTTGCTGCCCCCGGACTGGGAAATGAACCCCGGGCCTTCACACTGAGCTACATCCCTAGCACTTTTTACATCTTTTAAAAATTTTGAGTCAAGTTCTTGCTAAATTGCCCAGACTGGCTCTAATGTATCTTCCTGCCTCGGCCTCTCCAATGCTGGGATTACAGGCCTGCACCTCCTTGCTTAAGCACAGTAAGCCTGTGTGGTCCCGTACCTCACCACTGGGTAAATCTGTCTTTTCTCTTTCAGTAATTGTGGCCTCTACAAATGGGAGCGAGATGCAATGCTGAAGGTATGTGTGTTAGGCTGTTTTCTGTTACTGTAACGAAATGCCTGAGGCAGCTTACAGAGAGGAAAGGTTTGTTTGGGCTCTTCTGCACTTGGGCCTCTGGCCCATCCTGGTGAAAACATGGAAGAGGCAGCTTATGGCTGAGAATGAAAAAGAAAAAGGAGGTAACCTGGGTCTCAAGATCTCCTTAAAGGGCTGGTCCCCAGGGACCTAAAGACCTCCCACTGTGCCTGTCCTTTTAGAGGTTCCATCCTCTCCTGTACGAGAAGCAGAGAACCAAACCTTCAGCACATGGGCCTGGGGAGGAACATTCCAGACCTGAACTAGAGCAGCATGCCATTTACCTACAATTTGTGGCAGATTTTAGTGAACCAGGCAGGTAATATTAAGCCAATTTCTTATTAAGATACTCTCATTTTTTCTAGGAAAAGACTGGTCCAAAGATAGGAGGAGAAACCCTGTTACCAAGAGGAGAAGAACTTGGCAAATTTCTAAACAGCCTTAAATGACCCCATCTGCAGACATCGCCCCACAGCCTACCTTGATTCTTGAGATGGGAAAAGCACAGGATTGGTTCTGAGTGTCTGTGTATCTGACTGCCACCCCCTGAAACAAGAGCTTGTTAGGCCCATAGCTGCACCTCTTTACTTCCTCTGCTGTTTGACACCGACTTTAACCTTGGTGCACAGGTGGAAAATCAAGATGCCATGGTCTTGCCTTTTCCTACTGTGGACGACCGTGTTCCTGTGGCCGGAATTCCAGACGGTGAAAGACAGGCTGGATCTCTTGGGTATAGAGTTGATCACAACGAAATTCCTACGTTTCTGTGGATACCCAGAGACAGAGCATCGATTTAGCTTAATTTCGCCCTAGTTAACTTGCTCATCTTCTGGGTTTCATTCTGTTGGGTAGAAACTGATGAATATCAGGCCAAATGATCTTGAAATGTATCTTTCAGCCCTGAAATTCTACTAATATAACTTACTGCCATATACAAATATAACTTTTCCACTGTGATCATTGCCCTTGCTATTATGTTGAGATACTGAGTTCTTTCTTTCTGTTTTCAGTTTTGCTCTTTGAAATTGATCAACTGACTAACCAACATTGCCTGTATTTATTTATATAGAGAGAGGAGTCTCTGTTATTAGAACATTGTAGAACTCTGTAATGCACAAACCTAAAATATCCTTTGTACATATGAATTTATTTCAGCATGACATAAAGAAACTTTGATACCTGTAACCAAAACCAATACAAAATGTACCACGCTGTGAAACATGACCTTAAACACAAACTAGAAAGACAGCATCTCGTGGAGTTTGGGGGTTGCAGATAGTTTATTTTACACAGCAAGAATTTTAAAGGTCAAACACAATGGAAATAAACCAATAAAATTTGTAGGAGATTCTTCCGCCTGGACAACCTGATTTTCCAAATACTGCATGACTTAAGTAAATGCTGGGAGCTCCTATAAAAGTTGGCTATATCGGTAGGATCATTGTTCTGGAATTTGAACTCTAGAATATTTTTCTTCCAAGAGGGTTTTATGTTAGGAGCATAACATACATGAGAGGTCATCATGGCAGATAGTTGCTAGGTTTTCAAGAGCCACGTAAAATCCATGTGCCTGAAGATTCCGTAAAACAGTTCTGCTGTATGTGGACAGAAGGCGCTGCATCTCACCTCTGCATTCCCCTCAGGTTCTTGCCTAATAACTGCTTTTAGGAGTAGCTTGCTTTCCAGGTTTTTTTTTGTTTGTTTGTTACATTTTTTATTTGCCTTTTAAAAAAATAACCATTAGCACAAAGAAGCATGTGAAACCCTGTATTGTTAATGGCTCATTTAGAGTAGACTCGCTTGTCTCAGGAACTTAAAACAGCTGTGCAGGTGATGCGCATGACAGCCGTATAAACTTCACAGGTGGTTCTGGGGAGCTCTCCCCCTTCCAGTGTGGGAGAGGGCGTCAGTGGTCTCCTCACTGGTATGGTTTATACACGGAAGCGGTGTGACGTGCATCAACAAACTCGGTCTTTTAATCCTTTGTGTCAAACACGTCTCACTGGCAACATCCTATCATCCCAGGCCGCCAGCAGAAGTATTCAGTGACCTGCATTACAGAATCTCGCCAGGTCCTTCAAGCAGGCCATACATTACAATCTTCATTATATTCATTATAGTTTCTTCTTTCTTTTCTTTAGGTTTTTGTTGTTGTTTTTTTGCTGTGTCTTTAGAGGAATTAACTCTTTTTTTTTTTTTTTTTTTTTTTAAGAAAAATCACCTTTCTCTTGAGGCTTATGAAGACAAAATATACCTTTACCAAACAACAAAAGGAAAGCAAGTGTTTGTTTGTTTGTTTTATGAGACAGGGTCTCACTATGTAGCCCAGGCTGGTCTTGAACTTACAGCGATCCTCCTGCCTCAGCCTCCTAAGTGCTGAGATGACAGGTGTGCACCACCACGCCTGGCCTCAGTTTAGCCGTTCTGATCAGTGTGCAGAGATGTCTTGCTGTGATTTGTCTTTCTGATGACCAAAGCTACTGAGTGTCTTTTCGTGGGCTCTTGAGTCTTCATGTATCTTTTTTGGTGCTGCCTCCTCCAATTATGTCTGCTAATGGTTGAGCTGTAAGAGTGCTTTATTCTGGATTTATTCTGGATTCTCCCTTTCTCCATTAGATATCCCCAGATTGTTTTGAGTAAGGTTGGACAAGAAGATAGATCATGAATACTAACATGGTTTGGAGGCTGGGGATTTAGCTCAGTGGTTCCGCTGCCTGCCTCACAAGCACAAGGACCCGAGTTCAATCCCAGGTACCAAAAAAAATAAAAACAAAAAACATGGTTTGTGTCATTCCCTAGAGTGATGTCAGGACCAGTGGGCTTGATGTTGAGAGAGAAGGCAATTCATGTCCTGGGCTTCATAAATTCTGGGTTTATGATCCTGACTTTACTTTTGCATAAATAATCTTACACAAATGGCAAGGATATCTAATTGTTTTCCTGGCACAGTATTAGTCAGCTTTCTAGTACTACAATGAACACCTGAGAGAGATCAACTTATAGAGAGAAAAGTTTATTTTGGCTCAAAGTTTGAGTGAGTCCAGCCTGTGATGAGTAAGGGCAGGGAGTTATGGTGGGGGAGCATGCCACTGGGCAAAACTTCACCTCATGACCTGGAAGCAAATTGAGGAAGAAAGGAAGAGATTTGGGTTCTGCTGTCCACTTCAAGAGCATGCCTCAAATAACCTGAAGCCCAACTAGGCCCTATGTCTTTTTTTGATAGAACCCCGGACTTTAGCACTGTGCTACAATTTTTTGTTTTAAGATAGGGTCTCAGCATTTTGCTCAGGCTGGGCTTGAGCTTGGGACCCTCCTGCCTCTGCATCCCAGAGTGCTGAATTACAGGCTTGTACCATTGTGCCAGCAGCCCTACTTTTTACAGTTTCTATCACCTCCCAGTAGTGCCAAGGTGGGGACCCAGCCTTTAAAACATGAGCCTTTGAGAGACAAAATCTAAACTCTAGAAGGTACACTTGTTCATTTGGAAGGGTACAAGAAGAGTTGTGCTTAGTGACTTAAGTATGGTACTGTTTTTCAATAATTTCATGATACCAATCTACTAGTATAACTGGGTAGCTTATTGTATAAATTAGTTTACAAAATATAAAATAGCTTTTGCTGAATGCATGGTAAACAACATAAATTAATAAAGTCACAAGCTTGTGTTTTTGTCCTACCTAGGGGTTATCATTTTCATTTGGGAAAGTTTTAAATTTCAAGGTCATGAGTGTGTTGAGATCTAAAAGTATCATTTAGAGAGTTTAATGAGTTGTCTAGAGAAATCCCGTTCACCTTAATTTTCATACTAAACCAGAATTCTTTTCAGACGTATCAAAAATTGTCATTTCTGTAGGAAGATTTTATTCTTTAAGAAAGTGTTTAGATCTACAATGTGCCCCTCCCCTGTCTCATGTACGTGGAAGTAATTGGATTATAGGCTGCTGCATTCATCAGTGGGTTTATCAACTGATGGGTTCGTTAGCTGAGTGTGCCATTAGGAGGTAGGCCCTGGTTGAAGGTGGGTCCCTGAGGGTATGACCTCGAAGGGTGTGTTCTTGTCCCTGGTTCTTCCCTTCTTTTGCTTCCTGGTTCCCAAGAGTTGAAGAGCTCTCCTCCGCCATGATCTTTGCCACACATTACTGTCTTGGAGACGGCCAACCATTGACTGCACTCACTAAAATCATAAGCCAAAATAAACTCTCCTTTTAAGTTCTTGCATCTTTTGTCCCAGTAACAAGAAGATTAACCAATGCAGAAAGCTTTGTGAAAACTAATTAAATATTGTAGAACATTAGTTTAACTGTTTAAAAAGTAAAAGTGGAAAAAAAAAAGTTCTGTAGTTACTTAGATGTGAACAGATCACTTGAAAAATACTCCGGGCAATGAGAATAAGTTTCTGTTGGGAGACCGGAGACAAGGGACTGTTTCTACTATGTTCCTTTTTAATTTATTTATTTTCTTTTCTCATGTTTTGGGACAGAATATCGTTATGTAGTTTGTCATTCAGGCTGATCTTGAACTCAGTATGTAGCCCAAGTTGGCCTGAAACTCATGGTGATCCTCAGACTCCCAAGTGCTGGGATTACAAGTTTTCACTCCCACACCCATCTACTATGTTCCTTTCTGTTCCCTGTAAGTTGTAAGCCATGTATGTGGATTACCTATTCAAAGACTTAATTTCAAAAGAAGTTAATGTGGAAAGTGGACATACTTTTTAAGTTTAATACTAGTTCAAAAACAAAAGGTGTTTTCTTTCAGTGCTCACAAACCTCGAGAACATGCCTGTCTCTTGTAAAGGAGGAAAAGCCATGCTTACAGAAAGATGCTCCTTCCTGAGGGAGAAGTACTGTAAATCAAGGTGAGTGGGAAGCCATCCCAGTAAGCAGTAGGGGCCTCACAAGTAGGGGCCTGGGACTACAGCTCAGTGGTAGAGCACTTGCTGCTGTAGCATGCATGAGGCCCTGGGTTCAACCCTCAGCACTGCACACGCACACGCACACGCACACAGGCGTGGTAGCACATTATGAAGTCAGTTACTGGCCAACAGTGCAAGTTCACACTGTAACCCCAGTGCTCTCAGAAGCTGAAGCAGAAGGGTCACAAGTTTGAGTCAAGCTTGGGCAACGGAGTGACTTACCAAGACCCCTCAAAATACTTGATCCTAGTCAAAAGGCCAAGAAGCAATGAGCTTGATCCTAGTCAAAAGGCCAAGAAGCAATGAGACTCCTCTAAAAAAAAAAAAAAAAAAAAAGGGCTGGGAGTGTAGTTTGGTGCAAAGACCCCTAAGTCCAATCCCCAGTACAACCACAATGACAACAAAAAGAAGTGAAATAATCTGAACAAATGAAACTGACAAAAAGCACAAAAGTTTACAAAAAGTATAAAAATCATTCTGAGATTGAGGAAAATTCCCACCTCCTTCCAAAAAAATCGAAGTAAAGTAACAAAGGCATATGACAAGGAGTTGTGAAGGATGGTGCATATGCACAACCTTGTGGGCACGTGTCTGTGCATACGTGTGCGTGCCAAGCCCAGGGTGAGCGTGCTAAGCACATGTGTACCACTGAGCTACACCCCTAGCTCCCCAAAACATTTTTGAAAAAAATGAAAAAACATACGAAGCTGGTGAATATAAGTGAACAACAAATTGACTCTTGACAGATATGTTCTCCACCGTTTTCCTGGAGCCCCTCAAGGACAAGGACGTAGTAATGAGAGACCAAAGAGTAAGCAAAAGGATGTCCCACGGGCCTAACTCTGGCAGACAGTCTCCGAAAGTACAAATTGCTGTTATTAATTCCCTATTAACTGTGGCTGCTCCGCTTCCTGTCATGTTATCTTTGGCCTCCTGCAGGCCTAGGAAATGACTGTGTGTGGTTGTCTGGGAAGGAACTCTGGGCAGAATTTGAAAACCAGTATAATGGAGCCCTTGTTGAGGAGGGGCTGAGAGAGGTAATGGAATTCTTGCTCCGGGCTCTGCCAAGGTTCTTTATCTACCAGCCAGGCCTGGCTGCTGAGAGGTCAAGGACAGCCTGTTCAATTTGGGTTTGTCCGTTTTAAAACTCGACACTCGCAAACCCTCCTCAGGCTTCCATATCTGCATGGCCACAGACCCTACAGGCACCTGGCCGTGTGGTGTGGCCGCAAGTCAGAATCCAGCTGCTGCCACACCTGTTCGGTGGCACCTGGGAAAGAGCCAGCTCCCCGGAAGGCACAGTGGGGTCATTCATCCCGAGAGGAACCAGATTGTGTCTCTTCTTGGCTGGGGCAGGGAGCAGGGCTTTGCCCCTTCCTGTTGCACAATCAGGGGTGTAACAAAAGGACACTTGGCACTCTCTCTGTGTGTGTCCTGCTCCCCAGAGCCAACCAACACAGATCAAAAATATTTAGGACAAAAACTGCATCTGCACTAAACATGTACACTTTCAGTCATCTTTTTTCCTAAAATAGTATAGTATGGCTATTTATGCAGCATTTACATTGCATTAGTTAGCATGAGTATCCTAGAGATGACTTCAAGAATACAGAAGGGTGGGGGTGGTGACACACACCTGTAATCCCAGCACCATGGGAGGCTGAGGCAGCGGGATGGACAGTTAAGAGCCCAGGTTTTGGTCTCTGTGAGGATGGCAGAACCAATTCCTCTCAGATAGCAGTAACAGCTACACTTTTGAAATGCCTCATCCTTGGTTAGCAACCTGAAGGGTCAGGTCCTCAGGGCCTGTCTTGGTATCTATCTGCTGGCAGCCAGAGGGCAGTTTCTGGTGACGGAAGTCCAACCCTGGTGTGGCACCAGCCCCACCGCTGGCCGTCCTGACTTGGGGTCTCTGCCCACTGTGGCTGTGGAGCCATGCTGACGGGCTCCCGCCTCTCTCTCTGGGACAACCGCGAGTTTCCCCAGGACCCCTCACCCGAGTGAGATTAAAGCCCCGTGAGGAACCCCAGCCCCAGAGAACACGGACTGAAAATTCTCTTCACCAGTGGGTGTCTCGCTGATCTGCTAAGGCTTCTTGTCTGTCACTTTAGGAGAGGGACAGGAGGTGAGTGGATCTCTGAGAGCCTCTGTTCTGTGATGTCAGAGCCCTGTTTGGCTTGGATGCCAGGGTGACCCAGTGCCACCTATGCAACTTCTCTCTGTCAAGATTTATGCTTCAAAACACTGAAATATGTGCTTCTCCCAAGCAATCCTTGTCTCATCTGTCAGGAAAGTAAAAGCAGTGAGGAAACCTGCAAACTTTTCATTCAATCCAGTTTCTTCCACTGCTAGCACACGCTGACTTAAAGCCACATGACCCCTGCTTGGACCTTGTGGGAAAAAAATCACAGTCCCAAATCTTATGTATGGGGTGACTTGGGGTGTGTATAGTCACTTAATCACTGCAGTGTTTTCAAAGGATTTATCAGCTTTTTAAAAAAGTGACTTAAAGATGCATGCACTTATTACAAAGCATCCTGACACGATTAATCACCCTCTGTGGCGGGGCATTTTACAATTGAGGCGGCCGTACCTCAAAGCGACCCCTAATCAGAGTTGCTCTATTTGTCCTGGAGCTTGGGCTTAAAAGCAGGCTGGAGGAGCTGGCCAGGGCTCCAGCATGAGGGAAGCCATGGGTCTGTCGTGTATGCCCGAGGCAGCTCTCACTAGGTCGCCCAAGCTGGCCTCCAACCTGTGATCCTCCTGCCTCAGGCTCTGCGCAGCTGGGATTTTAAAGCCACCCTGTTTCTGGTACTTGGTTTTGGCAGCCTTAGAAAATGTGACAGACACTATGAAGAGAGAGAGGTGACAAATGGGACTTGGTTTGCACAGCTTGCCTTGCTGCAACCCCAGCTTCTGAATGGTGCAATTAAAAATTCGTGGTTGACCTCGAAGACTCGTCAGCAGCCAGGAGGGCAGCGCACGCCAACAACCAGGGGCTGAGACGGGAGGACTGCCTGTGGGAGCCCAGCCTGGGCGACTTAACAAGACCTTATCTCAAAATAAATGAATAAAAAGGGCAAGATGTAGCTCACTGTAGAGTGCCTGCTTGCCTAGAATTCATGAGGCTCTGGGTTTGAGCCCCAGCACTGCCAAAAAAAAAAAAAAGAAAAAGAAAAGAAAGGAGAAAGAAAAAGAAAGGAAGAGCTTTTCAGAGACACAAGTAAAGCACTGGTGTTTGCTTATCCTCTGGGATGTTCTCCCGTGACAGTTGAGCTAGAGTCCTCAAGAACAAGCTTTCCAACAAACAAGCCCTGAGAATGAACTTTGTCACACGGGGGAGAGAATTTGATGCGGCACTGAGGAGATCTGAGGAGTGATTGGTTCAGCATCTTTATTTGTAAGCTCTGAGTAAACATGGAGGTGTTGCTCCCTACGGTGATTCTGTGGCCATCCTGTCAGACAGGCGTCTACTCTGGGATCCAGGGCCCGGCCAGGGGATAGCACCGTGGCTCTGGTCTGAGAGGAGCCACAGGCAGCTGCTCACTCAGGAAACTATCCACGTGGAAGCTGAAGCCGGGGCCTGGGAAGGCGGGGGACAGAGAGGCATGGGTTAACCAGGGCCACGGAGTGCCGAGACCCTCAAAGGGACTTGGGGGCCCAGGGTGTCTGGGGCTGCTTCACAATCTTCCTTCCGGCAGCCTCAGGAGGGGTCAGATGTGGTGGCGGTCGTAGAGATAGGAAGGGAACAGCCCATCATAGTGCCACTGTCGCCACTGCTCCACGGCCTCCCAGCTCCTCTCTTCCTGCTCTGGGAAGAAAAAGTGAGTCACTGTGAGGACAGAAAGGACTCTGACATTGAGGTCACCCCGCCCTGAGAGGACAAGGTGGCACGTGCCGACGAGCCTCCGAAGGAGCCAGAGAACAGGAAGAGATGTCGCAGGCCTCCGATGCTGGAGCAGCATTTGTGAGACTCCTCCGAAAGTTAAGCATAAAATGGCCGTGTTACCCAGCAATTTGTTTCCAAAGAACCTACACAATGGGACGGAAAACTGGGACTCAGAGCACAGTAGCACAGTTCTACCAAAAGGCAGAAACAATCCAAGCAACATCCACAAACCAGTGAACAAAACATGCTGTGTATGTAAATCTAAACATATGTGTAACTGTATGATAAAATATGACTCAGCCATAAGCCATGGGGCTCTGGTTTATATTTCCAAGGTTTATGTCCCTTGAAAACATGTTTAGTGAAGAAAGCCAGACACAGCAAGACAAATACTGTGTATCTGATGTATATGCAATATCTAAAATAGGCAAAGGCATGAACATAAAAAAGAATACGAGGGCCGGGGATTCGGCTCAGTGGTGCCACCACCTGCCTTGCAAGCACAAGGTCCCGAGTTCGATCCCCAGTTAAAATAATAATAATAAAAATAAATATACTAAATGCCACCAACTTGTGAACTTCAAAATGGTTAAAGTAGCAAATTATATACGTATGGTATAGATACTTTAATTTCTTTATTTTTGTCTAATTTAAAAAAGAAAAGTGTTCGTGAACAACGTTGGGAGGAAGGATGAGAATCCTAGCAGAAGATGATGCTGAAGATTACAGACCTACAAATACCTTCCTCGGCTCCCTTTCCCAAATGAGAACTTCAGCATGGAGCCTGGTTTTTGTGCTAGTGAACCTGCACCCCGTGTGACCTTGGCCAAGAGGGGGGCCCAGTGGGACGACCCCGTGGCCCTGGGCACCTGTGGAGCAGACTCGTGTGGAGGGAAGGGCCCCAGGGGCCCCACCTCTGGAGCCGCCTTCACTGCTGCCAGTGTGTCCTCCCCGTGGGAGCCTGGAGTGAAAATCTCTTAGTAGGGTACTTGGCTCCCCAGGCTGGAGCCACAGCTGTCCCTTTGGACATTTCCACAGCTCTGTGGACCACCCTCTCTTCCAGAGTATGACCCGGCCGCAGGAGGTGACTGGCAACCCTTTCGTGCAGCGTAACTTGGGAGAGGTCACGCATCTACCTACCACTAACCATTCTCAGATGAGTTGGCTCCATCAGGCAATATGGCTACGGTCGGGTCCTGGCTGCAGGCAGCTGCTGGAGGCTTGGAGAAAGGCTCAGAAGACGGGTGCTTTGAGCATGGCCCCAGGGTGAGGACTCGGGTGATCAGGCTGCAGCACAGACCTTCTAGGGCAGGGCCAGGGGCCACTGAGATGGGGACTACCTACTTTAACACCTCACCCCGGGTGAGCCCGACCTGCTTGCCTCTTGGCTCCTTCTGTCTGGATCCCTGAGAGACCTGTGGGGGCTGCTGCGTCTCACTGTCCTCGCTCCGTGTGGCCAGTTCCTGGCTCAGAGAAGATTTCAGAGACCAACTGTAGAAAGTACAAGGGCTGCTTCAGGTTGGGTGGTAGGGATTAGATGGTGCTGTGCAGGGCCGGGCAGAGCAAGTGCTTGGCCAAAAGGCCTCAGCCCTGCTCTGCGGGTGCCTCTGGGTCGGTGTGGGTGGGGGCCCTGACCTCAGTATCTTCTAAGTGGACCTGTCATCCTGTGTGTGCCTAATCCCTAACCTGACCCATTGAAAGGAAACAGCGAATGCTTTCCACCCTGTGCTAAAGGCTGGGGCCTGAAACATTTAAAATGCATAACATAAAAAGCTATTGTGAATAGTATGAGCAAAACTCACACTGTAGGAATTTTGGAGGCCACATCTTGTTTTTAAAAATGAGACAGCTCTCAGGCTGGGGATTTGGCTCAGTGGTTCTGCTCCCTGCCTTGCAAGCACAAGGAACCGAGTTTAATCCCCGGTACCAAAAAAAGAGAGAGAGAGAGAGAGAGGGAGAGAAACAGCTCTCCCTGAGCTGTCCACGCAGGCAAACAAATCTGTAATAGGGTTATTCACTTCTACGTTATGACAGCCCGAGTGCTTCCCACTATGTCCCCAAGAAAGGCTGATTTTCCAGGGCCAGAGCCCAACACCTGCTTGCAGGGCTCAGCCTGGTGCCACCTGTAGGCCAGTGGACGTGGCCCCAGCCCTAGGGACACATGTGCTGCTCCTTTGGTTCCTCCCAGGCCAGCAGAGCTACAGGCAGGAGAAGAGCCACCTCACTCAGCAGGAGTGAGGCCAGCTGGGCTCTGCTGAGCTAGTGAGCACCAGGTGGAACCAGGTGGTTTTGCTCAGGCGCCTCTCAGCCTGAGTTTGGAGAAAGATCGAAAGGGAAATAAGCACCCGCACAGCCCCCGCTGCCTGCTGGTCTGATCCCTACTCAACACCCGATGGCTGTTGGCTGTGGTGACTCCGTGGGACACTGCAGAGAAAGGACAGGCCCCACCCAGCAGGAGACTGGCTCAAAGCTACAGCCTTCTTTCACCCATCCCCACTGCTGCCCAGCAAAGAGGCCCTGGTGCACCCAGCAGGCCCTGAGGACGCGCAGGACCCCTGAGGGTGGGAACAGGTGTGGCAGCTCCGGGTCAGACGGGCACTCACGTTCCCACACTTTTGGGAGGTGACCAAAGGCCAAGGCTTAAAGAGGGCGCTAACGGCGGGTGAGTTAGGGCATCAGGAGGCCACGCTAAAACTTGTGGGGAGCTTGATGCTGTGCAGTGAGCTGGAGCCCAGGACGGCCGGAGATGTGAGTATTCGGGTATCAGTGGGGGAGGGTACAAGGCGTTTCAGTTCAGTTCTCTCGCTGGCTGGCTCGCGGTGCATAGGTAAAGGGCGGCCTTGGTTTTCCAGGGTATAGAAGTGCCCAGAGCCATTATGGAGTCTGAAGCCCGCCCAACCCTCCTGGCGCCAAGCCACGAGTTAGGGAGCTTAAGCAGAGGCCCCCACAGTGACCCTGAAGCAGGAGGAAAGAGGAAGAGGGCCTCACATCCACACAGGCAGTGCACAATTCCCCCATTGCCCCTGTCCCCCAGCCACTGGCAACATGAGCAGCCTCTCCTCTTCCGTCTCCTCTCGGGTTCAGAGTAGTTGCTTCTCTGAGCTCCTCCCTTCTTTCAAGTCTCCCGTGGATATGAATGGAACAGGACGCTGGCAGGAGAGCTCGTACCATCTTTTTGTTCCTCCGCTAAATTCTCGAATTTGTTCCTCTGTTCCTCGTAATATTCTCTCCGCAGCTCATCCGCCCGCAGCTTCTGCCTGTTTTCCGCTGTGAAAGGAGAGGCAGGTGTTGCCCAGCGAAGTGGCAGGGAGGGGACACCGGCATTCTCCCAGAGAAGCCCAGTCTGGCTGCTGAGACCCTGGGGGCTTCCCTGAGGACTTTCAGACTTGACCATAGTGTTAAGCAAAGTACATCAGCCACATAATCCTAGATATCACAGTTTCTCCTATCTGAGAAACCCAAACTATAGATAAAGAGCAAAATAAAGACAGCAGCCCCTAGATCTTTCTCAAACTGGAAGGGGATGGAGCTATGGAGGGAGGGGAGGAAAACAGGAAGTAAGATGTGTTATGCACGTGTACCAACTCCAAAAGGGAATGGAAGCATCGTGCTCTGCAATCGTGTACCACTGAGAAAGAAGGAAAACAGCCCAGAGGCCCGGGCATCCAGTCACCGGCTTTACACCAGGGGACTGAGGCTGCCAGGTAAAAAGATTTAGCTTAGGTCATGAACTTCGTGGTGCGATCCAGGTATGTGGGGCCACTAAAACCTGAAATCTCATGATCAAAAAATTAATCCCATAAAGGGCTAATACTACTTAAAGGTAATCTCACTGAGGGGCTGGGGATTTGGCTCAGTGGTGCAGCCGCTTACCTTGCAAGCGCAAGGACCCAAGTTTGATCCCTGGTACCTGCCCCAAAAAGAAAGTAATCTCATTGCTTAATACCTTAAGTCCACTCAACATTTCTGAGCACCTATCACAGCAAGGATTTGGGCTTGAAACTGGAATTTAAAGGGGCATATACAAAAGATACTCTTTCCACTAGGAGGCCTATTGTCCAGTTATGAGGAAGACAGAAGATTTAAAAACAGGTTTCAGTGCTTGGGGCTGGGGTGGCTCAGTGGTATAGCACTTGCCTATCGTGTGAGGCCTTGGGTTTGATGTTCAGCTCAGACCACAAAAGGAGGGAGGGGGAGGGGAGGGGAGGGGGAGAGGAAGGGAAGTGGGAGGGAAGAGGGGAGGAGAAAGTTCCACCAAACATCACAGCTGCTAGGATAAAAGTCAGAAGCTGGGTGTGGTGACACATGTCTGTAATCTCAGCTACTCAGCAGGCTGAGGCAGGAGGAGGATCACAAATTCAAGGACAGTTTTGGAATTTAAACCCTGTCTCTAAATAAAACAAAAGGGCTAGAGTGCCCCTGGGCTTAATCCCCAGTAGCAAAAAGGAGGGAAGGAAGGGAGGTAGGTGGGAAGGAAAGAAAGAAAGATGAAAGGAAGGGAGGGAGGAAGGGAGAGAGGGAGAGAGGGAGGAACCAAATCAAATTTCCCTATAAGGTCAGCATTAAGCCTGACCAATGAACTTGATTCGGTTCTCATCCAATTTGGTTTGCGACCAAATTCATAGAAAAAATTAAGGTCACGAACCAAGGTACTACAGTATATAAATATTCATTATTTGTGTCACATTTATATGATTTAACAGATTAAAAATCGAGGTATCTGCATATTGGTCTTAGGATACTGAGGTGAGCCCTGTGCTTCTTCCCAGACTTCTGCCTTTACCCACAGCTGCTGGAGTATTTGGTCTGGAGGAAGAAGTGCACAGTTCAGCTGGTCTCTGCACCCTGCGAAGTTCTCAGGAGGAGATTCAGGCTGGCAGAGGCATGGTGACCACCCCCAAAGGGAAGCTGGGGGAGATGGAGGGGCGGGGCTTTGGGTTTAGGAAGTAAGTGCGCTCTGAGCCAGGACCCATTCCCCTGTTCACCCTGAAAAGAAACAGCCTTCCCAGGTTGACTTTGCAGAGGCACCAAGAATCTCAGCTTTGATGCAGCAATGGATAAGAGAGGTTTAATTATTGAGGGAAAAGGCGTGTGTATGTTGTACCTTGCCCTACAGTGTCAGTCCCTTCTCAAGAGCATGCATTCATCCTGTTCTCTTTTTTACCCCCAAATAACCTGCACCTTTATCCCCCAGATTAGAGAAGTCATCCTCACCTCCCAGTCCCGAGTTCAAATTGGCTGAAGCCTCCCTGCCCCATCCCACCCTGTCCGTGGGAGCTGACAAGGTGTCTAGAGGCGGCTGTCTGGCTGTCCTGGGCCTCTGTGGGGCCTGAGGCTCTTGAGTTCCCAGCCAGGGCGAGACCTCAGGCTTCCACTTGCGCCTCCTGTTCTGAGTCAGCTTCAGAGGGAGAAGGTTTTTGCCTGTTCTGCCGTCACAGTCGCAACCCACCCCCGCCAGAAGTCTGGAAGGCTCCCCAGAAGGAGGATTGAGTTCAAAGCCAGCCTGGGCTATGGTGAGACTCTGTCCCAAATGAATGAACACAAAGCAAAGCAAAACAATCAGAAAGACCTAATCACAGCTCTTCAGTGTTTTTTGGCCTTGACCGACTTAAAGCCCAAGTCCTATGAGGTCTGGAGATTTTTCTAATGTGGTCATAACTTAGCCAATTAAAAAAACAAATCCCATCTCGAGGCATTTCTATCTTGTCCTTGCCCATCATTTGAAAATAGCCCTGTTATTTTCACTGAGCGAGTCGCCTTGCTGAGTGTACCCCAGACACAAAGGGTTCATTCATCCTCAGGCACAAAGACAGAGTCAAAGCCGCAGATCCTGCCAGGACAGCTGGGGCTCAGAGTCTCCGAATACTCAAGTTCAGGGTAGGAAACTCGCACGCCTACAACGGCAGCAGGGTGTACAGCAGGCACACGGGCCAAGCGTGCAGGAAACAAACACTCACAGCAGCACTGCCGGCTGCCCAGGGCTCTCTCGGGGGCTTCATGGGCAAAACAGGGTCATGGAGGAAGCGGCAAGGCCGTCAGTAGCACAGCCATCACCAAGCCCACACTTCTCGCGCGGCTGCCCCTGCGCCCCTTCCCTGAACACCACAGTGTTGTTCTAGGCTGCGCTGTGTCAAGGCGCCCAGAAACGCACCAGAGTCTGTGTTCCCTCTGGATCAGCGTGGCTGTTTCCCTGTCCACGTTTTCCCCTTTCTGACGTGGGAAGCACTTATAACTGCTGGGTGTATGGACTGCGTCCCTGTGCTTCTCTCTTCCATGCCCTAAGGATGCGTTGAGCCCAACCTGTGGCCCACAGCCAAGGGAGTCCACACACTTCTAATGTGGGGCTGCGGCACCCCGATGCCCTAGGGCCATGATGACCCCTGGTTCTCTGCTGCAGGGGGCAGGTCACCCAGCGCCCTTACCGTTGACCTCACCGTGCAGTTTGGGGGACCGCCTGCCACGCCTCTGGAGGAAACTCGAGGCATCTGATTCCTGCATGAAAATCTTCTGTTGCACACCTGGAACTGGAGAGGAGCCCATCAAAGCCAGCACAGGGACCCGGGTGACCCCACACACCAGATGGGCTCTCCACACTCACCTTCCCGAGCTTCTGCCGCCTGCCTGCCACCCACCGATGCTCTGGTCCCCTCCCGCAGCGCTAGGAAAAAGGACACAGGATGGCACTGCAGCAGGGGTGCCCAGGCACCGGGCAGGGCCGCAGAAGTGCTTTGCAGGCTGTGGCTCACTGAGCCTTGTGGGTGGAACCCTCTGTGCCTCATGTGCCAGCCAAGGAGCCGATGTCCTGGCAGCCCACCAGGCAAGTGGGGTCTCCTTCTCTGCCTTCCTGCACACATGGACCCCGAGGTGGCCACGTTCATAAGCCCTTTCTCCTCCCTGCGCCACCTGCGCAGTCCCACCTGTGTGCGGTAACCCTCACTGGGTGGTAACAGTCTGCCCTGGGCCTCCCCGTACTCACTGGACAGCAGCACCAGGGCCGAGAGGCAGGACAGGAGGAGTGCCTTTCTCCCAGGCATCTTCCTGGGGATGGAGGCTCCCTGGATCCACAGGCAGGTGAGGCGTTCTGCAGCCTCCGATGCCACCACCTGCCCGGTCCTCACTTCTGAGTCAGGCAGGACGGCGAGAGGAGGGCAAGAGAGAAGCGGAGGCCGGGATACCACGGGGGGAGTGGGAGGGCTCCTGGCTGTGGTTTTCATTGGCTGCTCCTGGCCGGGCCCTGGAGATGTTTTTGGCACCTGGCAAAACCTCTACAGAAGCGGAGCTTGTTGTCCCAGCTGGGAGCTGGGACAATTTGGAAGTGGCCTTTCCAGCATCCACACCCAATGAGTCGGGATTCTGAGACCAAGGACAGGCTTCTTGCCTCTGCTCCAGGGAGGCCAGGACACTAGTCCCCAAGGCTGAGTCCCGAGGCAGTGGGGGGATCATTTTCCTTTACACGTCAGACACAGGGGGATCTTCAGGTATGGAGCGGCCACTTGGTAACACTTGCACAAGCCTGGGGCCATCCTGATGATAACCAGGTCACACCTCCCTTGGCAAACACCCCTGCCGTTGAGTACCACCAAGCAGGGTCCTAGAGCCCTTTAGAGACAGGGAGGAAGAGAGCGAGCCTGGGGCGCAGCATTTGAGAAGGCTGGCGGCTCGCTGTAGCGCCTCAGAAGCTCACACATCCCCTCTTCATGTCACAGCGGAAGCAGGCTCCTAGAAATAGGGTCACTAGTGACACTGGAGCTCTGTCGGCCAATAGGGCAAGTCCCTTGGCCATGGTCCTGGCGCTGTCATTTATCATGAACCATCCTGAAGAAGTACCCTTCGGGCATGGTTGAGCATTTTTCTAGTGGCCAGCACTTGATCCAAAACCCAAATCTCGTGGACCAGCCCGAAGCTCCCTTCCCCTAGGACCTGTCTGTCAACATCCTGCCAGGGCTCGACCATTGGCCAAGAAATAAATGTCAACGGCAGGAGGAGCCGCACGCGTGAGGACCCATCAGCAAGGATCCGTCTAGCCGGTCAACACCATGGCCCCGAGAGAGGGAGGCACCGAGGACACGGCCACCTGGATGAGCCTCCTGGGTGAAAGAGCGGCTGCCGGAACCGTCTGTGATGACTTACGACTGTTCACCTTGCTGGTTCCATTCATGTGGGCCACAATATTAAGCCACACCTGCTTCCCAGGCCCTGGGCTAATCAACCGCTGTGCTATGGCTCTGGGTGACCCAGTCCGGCTTCCCTGCCACTCCATGCCTTGGGGACCACAGACCCTAGAGAAGAACCACAAACCTCATGCTGTTCTCTCGGAGGCAGCCTGGGAGGAAGAGGCAGGAGATCCAGAACTCACTGGGCAGAAGGACGGCAGCTTGACACGGGAATCAAGCTCAGGTCTGGACGAGTAGGTTTATACTTCTTACGCGCCTGAAGGCTTGAGATTTCTCCTGGCCACACACAGCTGCTCCAAGAAATGGTCCGACCACGGCTGCTTTCTGCAACCTCTCAGCCCCTTCAGAAGCTTCTCTCCATCTAGGGCATCGGCACCCACTCCCCACGGCTGAGTGTGCGGCGGAGGTGGCCTCCTGGGGACAGTAGACACCCCAGTGTAACAAGTCACAGCCTCGGAGCAGGGGCACAGTTCCAGTGGTGGGGGAGGAAGAGAGAGTACTGAATTCAGGGTCAGAAGAAGAGCACCCTGCAGGGGCTTGGTCCGACGACATGTTCACTGAGCTTTCCCTTGCTCCATCTCAGCATCCGGGCACCCAGGTACCCGGAGTGGACACTCAGGAGCCGTCCAACAAACACACCGCCTGCCCCAGCGTCTGGAGCTCACCGGTCAGTATGTTCTAATGACTGTACTTTAAAAAAAATTTTTTTCGGGGGGTACCAGGGATTGAACTCAGGTCCTTGCGCTTTCAAGGCAGGCCACCAAACCGCTGAGCTAAATGCCCAGCCCCAACTGTACTTCTTAAAACCCTTCAAATGCTGTCTGAACGCACCTCTCCTGCCTCTCCTGCCGCTCCTGCCGCTCCTGCCACTCCTGCCCTCTGCAGACGCTGCCCTTGCAGGTGACTGCAGTAGCAAGGTGGGTTCACACCCAGTCCCACTCTCCCTGCACACCGCTGGGAGCTGGTCTTCCTGCAAACCCGACATGGACTGCCTGCTTAACATGGCCCCGTGGTTTGCCACTGTGTCATGTTGGCGAACACACGTGTGATGCGTTAGTTCCCATCTGCACGTTGAGCTACAATAGAGGGGCAGGGTTGGTGGCACGGAGGGGTGACGGGATCTGCCCACGGCTGTGCAACCCAGCAAGGGCAGTGCTAGAACTGGCCCCAGGTAACCTGCTGTGTGTTGCCCCTTGGGGAGGAAGGCCAAGCTTGTCCCAGGGCCCAGGCCCTCCACGTGCTCTGTGCAGTTACTCGATGCCTGTGAGTCCCCAGGAGGCTTCCTGCTCAGGCCTGTGGCAGTGGCTTCCGTTCTAACAGGCCCTGTGAATGTCCACTCAGCCCATACTTCCTTTTGGATGTCTTCCTTTCTGCCTCAGATTCCTTTTGACGAGAGCCCTGAGGCTGATTTCACGCGTTTTATTTATTTATTATTATTTATTATTTTGGTTTGTTGAGACAGGGTCTCACTATGTGGTTGAGTCTGACCTGGAACTCACTATGTAGCCCAGGCTGGTCTCGAACTCACAGGGATCCTCCTGCCTCAGCCTCCCAAATGCTGGGATTACAGGCATGCGCCACCATGCCCACCTTGTTTTCTCTCGTTTTACACATGTGCATGGGACAGCTTTTCTTGAGGTGCAATATACTCGCCTTCCGATCTGCCCATCTAAATTGTTTGTTTCAGGGCTGGGGGTGTAGTTCACTGGTAGAACCCTTGCCTTGCATGTGCACGGGCCTGTATTTGATGCCTAGCGCCACACACACATGCACACCCATCTGTCACCTATCTATCTGAGTCAGTAGTTTCTAGTTTATTCACAAGATTGTGCAACCATCACCATTTCAGAACATTTCCATTGACCCCAAAAGAAAGCCTCACACCCACAAAGAATGATTCGCATTTTCCCAAGCCCAGCCCTCAGGTGGATGCTCATCTGTGCGTTCTCTGCAGATTCGCATCCTCCTGACACTGCGTGGAGTCAGAGTCACCCTGGATGTGTCTGGCTTCTTCCGCTTGGCAGAATTTTTTTTGAGGTTTGTCCATGGCGAAGCACATATCAGCTTTGATTCCCTTGGACTGTTGAGGAGCGCTGAATCGCAGGATAGGCCGCGTTTTGTTCGTCTGCTCATCGTTTGGTAGGTTTCCATCCTACGGTGACTGTGGGAAATGCTGCTTTGCATGCACATTTCGTGCCGGCGTGATTTCTCTCCTTGGGTTGTTACCTGGACTAAATGGTAATCCTACATTTAATATTTTGAGGTGCTCACAGTAGATCTAAAATGTCCATTTATTTGCCTGCTTCCTCAGGTGCCACAAGGCCTGCTGGCAGGGAAGTTTCTACCTCGTGGGGCCTCATGTGGTACCTGGCACTGACCAGATGCCCCACCAATGCTCATTGGATTAATCAGCCGAGGTATTCTTGCTTGACAGCATAAAAGGAAACATTCATGCATGGCTTTCAATGGGCTATTCAAGGGAAGGTCGAAACACGGGCACCTGGAATTTCCAGGATTGTGTGCTTGCAGGTTTGGGTATCACTAAGGTCCTTCTCAAGTGGTGGGGATGAACCTTGGGTGCATTTATAAAGGACTGCCTTCGAAGGTGGCCAACACAACCTTACCCTTCTCCCCAACCGGGTTGACCTTTAGGCAAGTTTCTTCCTGACTCTAGGTCCCAAGCTTCCTTTTCTTAGGGAATTTGCTGTAGAAAATTTGCAGTTGTAAATTCTTTTTCTACCCCTTTGAAACATATCCAGCTTCTTCAGTTTTGCAATGTGGGAATATCCTTCTTGTTTTGGAGGGTAGGTGCTGGGGATTGAACCTAGGACCTCATGCATAGTACGAGTACTCTCTGACACTATGTCTTTCTGAGGACTGAGAACCAGTTGTTCTGAAACATGAGCATCTGAGGAGTTAGCACCCAGCCTCCTAAGTTCAAAGTTGTGAAGACCAATTAGTACACCCAGATGGTTATGATGCCTTCACCCTACGTTTTAAACCTGCCCAGACCTTTGGCTGGGTAAAGTTGGCTCAGGTCTTCTTAGCTACTGCAAAAGTCATGAACAGAGCCTTCCTGCCTGTTTCACTCAGATGCAATTTTAACTTTGACCATGGCATTGACTCAGTATACCAACTACTTCTCCAAGGACAGTCATAGCTCCTGTCTAGTGGAAATGGCATCCATGCAAACAAGGCCACTACAGGCCGAGCCTACCCGTGTCACCCTGAAATAGACATACAGAAGCCCCTTGTCTGTACCTCCTACAAGAATATATTGGGCTTTTTCATTTCAGCTCATTTTCAATGGACTAATTATGCTCCTAACAGCCTCACATTGGGAAGGAGTAAAATAAGGACTATGCTGAAAAGGACTCCTGACCCTTGAAAACCAAGGGACCCCAGAACTCAGGCTCCAGGAGCCCCCACGGGAAACAGATGAGCCCCTTTCCTGCCTCCCTACTCTGGTTACAGGAACAATAAGAGGAAAACATCTTAGCTGTGAATGTGAATGCTTGTTTGTTGGGTGAGAAAGAGACAGCTTCCAATTAAAAAAAAAATCAACTCCTTGGAAGTGCCCTGGAGCTGACCGTGTTGACACAAGTGGGTGTGGCACATGAGAGTTTGGGAGTCCGGACATTTCTCAGCGCTTTCTGGTTTTTTGTGTTGCTCTGGAAGCATCCATTTCTCTAAAGCGCTGGCTGGCCCAGAGACTGGTGGCACATCTGTACAGCTTCTGCCTCCTAGCCACGGATTCGATCAGTCTAAGAAGACGGTGTCTGAAATCTCTGAGTGTAAACCATGGGACAACTGCGACCACACCAGAGACGGGAGAATTGGTGGCAGCCGCTCCTCATCACTGGGGTCTTAGACAAGGTGAAGAATTAAGCAAAGTGGAGGGCGGAGGCTGCCACGTCGCCTTCATGGCCCTATGCGTGAATTCCAGTTGTACCAAGTCTTCCTTAACGCTGGAAG